AGGCTAGCTACCACTCCACCGAAAAGTATAGATGAGCATTGGTTGCAATTGCATGACGCCATGAAAATGGCGGGAACAGTCAGTTGTGGGTTTGCGAAACGTCCCGCTTTTAAGCACTGGGTTTCTTCTGGTTCCTTACAACTCATTGAAGCCCGTCGGTCTACTCCGGGTAACCGTGAGTTTGACCATAAACGAAGGTTTTTACGTAAGGAAATCGGGCAAAGCTTGCGTAAGGACCGAGAAGCCTGGTGGTCGATGCGTGCTAATGAGCTGGAAGCAGCAGCTGCATCTGGTAACTACCGGAAGCTCTTCCAACTCATCCGAGCCACTGGCAGCAAGAAGTCTGGTGTGAGTGAAACAATCTGCGAGGATGATGGGATGCCAATCACTAACATCCATCGACGTCTTGGACGATGGGCAGAATTTTTCGAAGGGCAGTTCAACTGGCCTGCTGCTCCGGTAACATCGGTCAGACTGTCCTGCCCTCCATGGCCGGTGACGACTGATCCACCAAATGAAGAGGAAGTCCGCAAGGAACTCCAACTCTTGAAGCGTTACAAATCACCTGGCCCAGATGACTTACCTCCGGCTCTTTTTAAACATGGTGGTGACTTTTTGACTAAGGAATTGACGACGTTGTTTACAAAGGTTTGGGATCTAGAGAGTGTACCAACGTCATGGAATGAGTCGATAGTTGTCCCTATTTTTAAAAAGGGTTCACGTCGTTCTTGTAACAACTATCGGGGGATAAGTTTACTTCCGATTGCGTCCAAGCTATTGGCTTCCGTCATTCTTCGTAGGTTGTTCAAAACCCGAGAAAGATTGACTCGCGAGGAGCAGGCTGGGTTTCGTTCTGGTCGAGGATGTATTGATCATATCTTCACCCTCCGCCAAATGTTAGAACACCGCCATACTTTTCAAAGGCCAACAATCGTAGTGTTTCTTGACATCAGGGCTGCCTTCGATTCGTTGGATAGGACTGTTCTCTGGAATTGTCTATTGAAGAAGGGTGTGCCTGAGAAGTTTATTAACATCCTAAAAGCCCTGTATAAAAACACCTCAGGCAGAGTGAGGGCATACAACCACCTCTCTCCATTGTTCCATTCGAGCAGTGGGGTTAGGCAGGGTTGCCCAATCTCACCATTCCTCTTCAACTTTGCCATCGATGACATTCTGGAAACAGCTCTGATGAATGTAAGTAATGGTGGTGTGGATCTGTTGCCTGGAGAAAGACTTCTCGACCTTGAGTATGCGGACGATATTGTCTTACTGTGCGATAATGCCCAAGGCATGCAATCCGCACTTAATCAGTTGGCAATCAATGTCCGTAGGTATGGTATGTGCTTTGCACCTTCCAAGTGCAAAGTACTTCTACAAGACTGGCAGGATTCTAGTCCTGTACTCACTCTGGATGGTGAGCAGATAGACGTAGTTGAGAAGTTCGTGTATCTGGGTAGCTACATAAGTGCTGGTGGGGGTGGGAGTGATGAGATCAATGCACGAATAGTGAAAGCCAGAGCGGCTTATGCCAATCTGGGCCACCTTTGGCGCCTTCGTGATGTTAGTCTGGCTGTAAAAGGCCGGATCTACAACGCGTCGGTGAGAGCAGTTTTGCTCTATGCTTGTGAAACCTGGCCTCTCCGAGTTGAGGACGTTAGAAGACTCTCTGTGTTCGATCATCGCTGTCTCCGAAGGATTGCTGACATTCAGTGGCAACACCATGTCAGTAATGCAGAGGTTCGGCATCGTGTGTTCGGGCACAGAGATGATAATGCAATTGGTGTCACCATCTTGAAACACCGACTTCGGTGGCTTGGACATGTTCTCCGAATGTCGTCCCAGAGAATTCCACGTCGTGCATTATTTGCCGACTCTGGGACTGGTTGGAAGAAGCGGAGAGGTGGTCAGTGCATGACATGGTGTCGTGGCATGAAAGAAAGCTGCAAAGGACTGGCTTGTGTTGGTCCTTCACGACTCCCTGGCTGGGGTCCGAGAGATGGTGCAACACAGTGGCTAGAGACGTTATCAGATATGGCTCAGAATAGAAGCCAGTGGCGATCCTGCTGTAACCTTCTTTTACTTTCTTCATAAAAGTGGTTATATCTTACTTAACTGAAAGATTTCTTCTGATTGTACCTCTTCGTCATTACTCTCTTTTTCTTTTGCGTTCCTTAGTTTTTTTTTCTTTTTTTCTTTCTACTTCTCTTCGAATTCCCATTGTTTTGTGTGGCGCATATATATTGGCGCTCTCTTGTACCAATATTTATGTGTTCAAATAAATAAATAAATAAAATTTCCTCAGTTCCAGTTCAAGATGCAACAGTTAATGCTTATTGATGAGTAGTCACAAATCATGTTGATAAATGAATCGTGTTTTTTTCTTAGTTTTTCAACGGTTCATATGGGAGGGAGACAATAGTATCAAGAGATCTCTCGCCTTTATGTTGAATGGTGACGGATACTGGAGGATTAACTCAATTTAGAGATGATGAATTTTTGCCTAAGGGATTAACATTAATTGGAGTAAACATTGAATATAAAAAAGTACTGAAATACCTGTGTTGTCTTAGTATCTAAAACAGTACATACACATGACGTTTACGTTCTGCAAAGAATACCAGATTATGAATTCAGTTAGTCAGGATTTAATTGACAACATTTTCAACGTCAATAAATAAATCATCTCAAGTAACACTCAATTCTAATGTTATCGATAATAATCATTTTGATGGAGTTTTGTTCTCTGAGCTGGATAGTTTGGTCGTGGAGCTTTCATCGTTCCTTTGAACGACATCATTAACACAAACTTCAGATAGAAGTGAAGTGTTTGAATTTCTTCATATGCGTTTCACAGCTTGTTCATTTTATTCCTTATTGAAATATCAGGCATCGATTTGAAAGTTAGTCATTAGGCGAAGAAACAATTCATGAATCAATGATGGTACAACTATTCGTTTCATTGGCTTGACATTGTGGTATATTTTGTAATATGATCAATGAAGAATTAGGGCTAATAATCAAGTGTAATTTCTACTAAAAAATGTATAGACCTACAAAACTCATATACCCTAGTTAATTGTTTGTTACGTGACATTTAATTTTGCTTATTTTTCTAGAAATTTTCTGTTCTACCAGACGGAACACCAATATATATATATGTCGGATGATCAGTCAGTCGGTCGGCAACAACGCAGAACTTCGTACGTACGTACATCAATTCGAGTTGCCATACCACATTAACACAGAGATACAATTCTCGAATCAAATCCCATAGTGCTAGAGGTAGTAAAAGTATAAGTAGACGATTGGTTGTCTTTTTTTAGATATTAGTTAAGTTGAGATTTGCCGTCGGCAATTCAATCGTATTCGAGGTCGGTAACGGACTCTATATTGTATTTATTTATTTAATACATATATTCTGATACAACGAGACATTAAATATGAACATCATTGAACAGCATTCTATTCACTAGTTTAACAAACTTCAAATATGAGTCACTATAGTACAGTCAGAGCTATTCTATACAACATTATTTTAAATTGACTTATCAGTAACAATCGTTAGCAATGTATATTTGCTATCAATTCTTATGGAATTGATAGAACTAAAAACTTATGTCATCCAGTTATGAATCAGAAATGCATATATACTGGGACTATTCAGTTCACAACTAACTTCATATGAACGTGTGAAATATTCATAGATTATTGTTCTAGTCAATGAACGTATTGAAAACATTCATTCACTCGTTTACTTCTTTCTTTTAACGGATTATAATTTGGCCCCAAATGCCCTGGTATGGCTGAGAGTTGGATAGGCTCGCCCTCCATCTCGAAATGCTCTCACACGGCCACGCGTATACAGCCTCTGCCAGGGAAGTCCTACTCACTAACTTCTCGTGGCATCATTGTTGTTTACGAAATTAAGAGGATGAAAAGTGAATGTCCAGTGATTTAACCGGATTCCAAATCAATGGTGCACATGGGCTCCAGTATCCTAAAGGAACAAATGGCGTATGAACCAATCGTTGGTCATCGGCTACCATGGGACTGCATCTCCTCACGATGCTCCACTGCCTTGTGGGTTAAACTTTTAGGTTCAAGGCTCAGAGTGTGACCCCCTAAGAAAACCACCTGCTTCGGTTTGGGCACCCAGGCAGTATCCCAGCCCTCATACAAATCGAATGATCTATGTGGCGCATATCTATTTGGTGTCTCTTGGTACCAATGTTTATGTGTTTAAATAAATAAATATTATAATTTAGCTTCTATATAATTCGATAGATAAGGCTTCGTGATAGAACTTAGAACGGAAGCAGACAAACAATATAATGCAGAATACTTGCAATGTCAATAAAGTACTATCATCATCATCATCATCATGACAACAAGAAAAGAAACATATACTCAACTAGGAATACATGAAAAACATTGAAATGATAGATAGTTATTAGTGTTATTATTATTTTCTTTAACAAAACAAAAACAACAAAATTTCCATTTGTATCAAGCTATATGGTGTAAACATATAACTCTATCTATTCGCCCAAATTTTCATACAAAAAAGAGAATAAAACGCCTGATATTTCTTATTGGACAATTGTGTTTTCTACACATGTACATACCACTATTGTACACACATTTGGAACTGCCTAATTTATTTATTCTTGTATATATGTGAGATTTACATAAGAAAAGATTGAAATAATCTTACACATACACATAAGCACACACACACACATACAAAGAGATGATAAGTACTAAATGTATGTATGGGTAGTGTGCATGAAAAGTTACGGACAGAAAGGATACAATACAAAATGACCACCACGTCATAAGTAACAATTTGAGAGAAAGATATTTATTGACAAAATGAGGAGGAAAAAGGGCATCATAATCAATAACCACGTATAAAAACAAATAGTACAATACAACCATCATAACTACTATTACTACTACTGATGATGATAATAGTAACAATAAAAACTAGAACAACATACATGGAATCATTCGCTGTTGCAGGCATTTTAGGAATATTACCAGGTAGTGGAAGATCGTCGATATTAAAGAATTGATGACGACTAGTTGATCGATGGTGATGATGTGATTTACTTGACTTATCATAGTGAAAATCAGGTTGTGCAGAATGAATAATTGGTGATTGGATTGTTGAAGATGTCCAACTGGTAGTTAGTCGAACAAAAGGATTTGTAGAAATTTGTTCCGAAGTTGAAGGTATATTACAATTATTATTATTATTATTGGCAAGGTTATAATCTGGAGTGTATAAGGGATGAAAATTCTTGGCGCCAGGAGATCTAAAAAAATGATATGCAATGATAAATAGACTTAGTAAACTGAATTAAAACTAAAAAAAACTATGATTTCATACAGATATTTTGAACCATTGACACATCCTATGATAGACAGTCAAATGGAATACAGATTTTTCAAAGAGTCAACCAAATCCAAGCTTAAACAGTGAAAACAATTACTGACTTCAATCCTTATATCAACAATATAGTTTGAAGAAGTAAGTGATTGAGACATGTCGTTAGAATAACGAATATTAAAAAAGAGCAATAATCAAGATGACATACAAGTACTACCTTTTTATGCGTTTGAAATAGCCTCTTAGTCGCGTGTTGATATTAAACAGTGAACCACTGGAAAATAAAATGACCAAGGACTATTGGGACCTCACAGTTACAAATGTTCAGTTTTCCACAGGTCTACCATAAGATACCAACATCTTTGGCGTATTGATTCAGAATTATGTGTTCTAAATATCAAACTCACTACTACAAAAGAGTAGTGGGAATTATTCAAATATATCAATGATATCGATTTTCCAATATTTAAACCTAACAAGCAACGTACAACCTGACACATAAGAAAACTGGTTCAACTTGGCACACTTCATCAGCGCAGCAAAATGAAAATATTAAGACAATAGCAAGAATAGTAGAAATGGTAACAATATCAGATTGGCAGAAAAGGTTAGACACCGACAGTATGATTCCGGAAGAAAAAATGAGTTTTGAAAATAAAACATGAAAGTTAATTAAGAGCATAAGATCTAAGGAAGGATAAAAAGGAAATGGATCTGCTCCATTGTAACTGATTCTGATCCATTATTGAACGTCTACATTTAACAACAGATTTCAGTCTAATTGCCGATGACTTTATAGAGGCAAGAAGTACATAACACAATCGACGATATCTGAAAACTACCCTACTTCGGTTGAGATTTTATGCATTTGAAAGTATAAACCGTTTTTTATCAGTTTAGGAAGTTATATCGTTTCTAAGAGGATTAGTTATTAATATAATCACCGCATGTATATATGGAAGATTTCTTTTCACAACAACATCTCAGAGGCTTAGCTTGGTGTTCTGCACTTAACTGGTTGGGCTAGGTAGGAAGTAGGACTGACAAGTACTGTAGACTGCTCGTACGTGTTTCATGTGTCGTCATTGGTCCGGTCGATAATTCACTGTTCTCTAATTGGGCACACAGGCCAAAACTTATAACACAAATACTATCGACCACTTAAGCTCTTCTCTCATTTTTAGTAACCAACTGCTTTCTGAATTTCATCTTGATATTGAATATTTGGTTGATTTTTCAAATTGTTTTATAGAAAGTGAAGAAATATATTTCTACAGTTGAGATCATGAGTCAATTGAAGCTAGATCACTATGAAAAACCTTGGAGCACTGGACGGCCGTTTCGTCCTATTGTGGGATTCCTCAACAGTACTCATCCACGACCACGCCCCATGGGACTCGAGCCCAGAACCTATCAGTCTCGCGCCACGTGCTTAACCAACTACACCACTGAGTTAGCCGGCATCCAGCGGCGTTAATGTCTAACTTCAACTAATCCATAAAATTGACCGACACATCCATCATTGTCATCAGTGAGTTACTATCTCACAACTGACCCGGTTGAAATCCACTGGTCACTGCTTCTCACTAGAACTCCAGGATATACCACTTGAAGCCAGTCACTAGTGAGCATATGTTGATTAGTATCAGAAGGGGTTTTGTGGAGATTGTAGTAATTTCAACAGTTGAGATCATGAGTTAATTGAAACTAGACCACCATGAAAAACCTGGAAGCACTGGACGGTCGTTCCGACTCGAGAATGATAGGTTCTATGTTGGAATCTCGCGAGGCGGGATCGTAGATACACACTGATAAGGAGTCCTACAATAGGACAAAACGACCGTCTAATGCTTCCAGGTTTTCTATGATGGTCTAGCTTCAATGGACTCATGATCTCAACTGATGGAATTACTACAATCTTCACAAAATCCCTTCTGATACAAATATATTTCTGTATATAGATTGTTAAAAATAAAACGAAAGTCATCGTTATCATCATCACAATATACCCTTCACATAAAATTAAGCAAACAAAATATTAAAAAAAATAGTCATAAAAATCCTCTATTCTATTTAAGAGAATATCATTCACACAAAATGGAATTTTATGAGTCTTTCATTCTCTCTCTCTCTCTCTTTCTCGTGCACTACCTTACACACAAGCGCATGTTCTCTGTTCTGTAAAACGTTGCGCTTAATTTTTCTTTAGTTTTATTGCTTTGTCGCTATTTCGTTGTTGTTGTTGTTGTTGTTTGTTGTTTACTTTGATGTGTGATTTCTCATTTCTTCAAACAGATAGATAGATAGATAGAATCATAGGTGGTGTCTTTTGATGTGAGATGCCGACAATAAATATTCAACGTTTTCTTATAAAATAACCTTTTTACTTTCTAGCATATGCACATACACGCATCCATTCACATTCCCCCCCCCGCATATACTTTCGTGTGCACATAAAACATTCATTGCTTTTATGTCTAGTGTACTGACATAAAATTTGTTTGATCGTACATGTATGCGTACATATATGTATAAATGTCTTTGTGTGTGTGTGTGAGTGTGAGTGAGCGTCGAAAGTTTCCATTTTTGCATAAAATGTTCTTTTTTATGATGTTAATATTCTTGTTATAAAAAAACAGAAGCGTAAATGTTAGGTAAAAGAGCGTTTATTATTTTTGTTGTTGTTGTTGCTGTAGTCACTATCTACTACTACTACTACTTATTTTCAATACGATACTACTAATTTAGTGTATGTATCTAACTATGTGCGCCTATTCACTGTTTGCTTATTACACCGATTACTATTACACATTAGTAAAAGAAACACATAAAAAGTGTAGAAACAAGTTAAATGGTAAAATCATGTTTAGATCAAAGAATAAAACTGAATTGTGAAGAGATTAGTTTCTTTTGTCAAATGACCTTAATTTTACATAAACTATATGTAAAACCGTAAGTGATATATATATATCAGATGGGTTTTGTGGATATTATGTGCTCATATGCTCACTAGTGACTGGCTTCACGAGGTATATCCTGGAGTTCTAGTGAGAAGTAGTGACCACTGGAGACAATGGTGGATGCGTCGGTCAATTTCGTGGATTAGTTGAAGTTAGACATTCACACCATTGGATGCCGGCCAAATCAGTGATCTAGTGGTTAAGTGCTCGCGTGCGAAACCAGTAGATCCTAGGTTCGAATCTCGTAGCGGGCGAGGTCGTGGATGCGCACTGCCGAGGAGTCCCATAATGGGACGAGACGGCCATCTAGTGCTTTCAGGTTTTTAATAGCAGTCTAACATCAATCGGTTCATGATCTCAATCAATAACTTAATAATCTCCACAACCCCTATACTAGTAAAATGAGATTAGTTGATCGTTATTTGGACTACATATACTAGGCATAAACCTATTCAATATATGATATGATATCTTCAATATCCAGTTGTTTCTTTTTATAACAAATTAGGTTGTAAGTTCGAACCACATTCCACTCTGGTTCACTTAAGCAAGATAAATAATAATCACACAAAAGATGTTTTCAGAATTAGTATAAAAATAATTTTATCCATTTCACAAAAAATGGATTAGAGTAAAAGAGGCTTATGAAGTTGTTATTGACTGCTGAATTAAGCTGTGTTGATAGATTTAGCACCATCTGATTTCTAAGCAACTATGGTAATTAGTAGTCGGAGATATTCGGTAACATGACTTAAAATCAGTTACAATGGAGTATATCCATTCGCTTCTTACCTTAACATGATACTGTTACCATTTCTACTATTATGACTATTATCCTGATAATTTCATTTCACTGTGCTGATAAGTGTGGCAACTTGAACCAACGTTACGTTTTACGTTGTTTGTGACTGACTGACTGTTTCTTTACTGGACAATTTATTAAAGTTTGTTAACAATACAAAAGTAAGGATGTTTCAGCAAGAAACTAGTTTTAACTACCATTCCCATATGTCTGGATATCGGATATAAAAATCGAGGAAAACTTTTAGACCTACTTTTGAATTCATCAATTAAATCCCTTAACACCTCAAAGTCTCTAACATATAACACTCAAAACACTTGGCCTAATTTCAGTATCTCACTCCTTTATCATATTCGTCACTAATCTAGTGAAAATCTGTTAGTTACTCTTTCCATATCGATTAGTATTCCCTTGACATAAGTATCAGCCAAACTAAGAATGTTCAGTCTCATAGTACCCAATTAACTAAGTAAGAGTTTTAGAACATTTAGTTTCAACCTACATTGCTTTTGTAAGGGCTAATAATACTGACTGCCTCGATCCAAGGAGAATCAGGGTTCTAACCAGTGACATGGTGGTTATAAGTTGTGTTTTAAAATCAGTAAACCACCATTATACAAAATTTTGTCTCGTAGGCTAGAAGTATAATAACTGGTTTTTCTTTTTATAAAAAGTGATGATGTTAAGTAGTTGATATTTTAACTTACAGTTTAAAGTGTAAAACAGCTGATATTAGACTCAATCAGTCATTAATTAATGCAGGACCTAGCACAAGTTACCACAATTCGCATAAATTAACAAAATGGAAAAAAACTCTAGCATTACTTTCTTGGTAGTTCCATTGTACGTGAAATATGTTTTAAGGACATTTGTGGTCAAATGCTCAAAACTTTCAAACACACTGTCCCAGACTTTAAGCAATACAGGAATGACTGTTGCGCAACGAAAAAAACATCCCAACTGCATTATACGTGACATAGACTGACAAAAGCCAAACACGATCTTCACAATCATGATAAAACTAGACTATCTACTCAACAACAAATCAGTGCTAACAAAACTCTTAAGACAGTAAAAGTGGTTGACTCTCGCTGCTACCTTATTTCCCGTCATCAGACATATCACTAATGGAGACAGATTCAGATGCGGGATTTCCCATTTGTAAGGAGCGAAACGTGGCCAAAACGTCCCGATATTGTTCATCAATGAGTTCGAAACTTTGCATCATACTAGAATATCCAGCACATAGAACTATGTCATTTGTTTTAAACTAATGAATTCTCCAGGGAAGTGACTGATCTTTGGAAAGTCATCTAATGAAGGCATTACCGCTAGAAACATTTCTGGATATAGTTGGACAATTCTGACGGACTCCACTAGATGATGGAGATTAAATATTTCATCGTATTTACATGGGGTGAAATGGAATCTTTTTAGTATTTTAGGGTTTACCGAATGCTACATTCTAGTCGAGAACTAGCTTTACAATTGACTGTTGCTAATATCGTTATACCAACATTAATGTTACGCAAAATTAATGAATAGAAATTGAGTTGTTAAACCCAACAGCAATAAGTTAAACTAATTTATTCACCGGATAATTGGGTATGAGCTACAATAAATGTGAAGGCTAACGGTTGCCTAAACCAAAGTACGTGAGAAGTCACTCAAAGACATGAATCAATAGGTGAAAGTCGAATGCTCTAACCACTGAGCCGCCACTCCACAACAATCGTCTAATGAGATGTATACACATCCAATCGAGCCCAGATGACTTACCTCCGGCTCTTTTTAAACATGGTGGTTACTTTCTGACTAAGGAATTGACAACGTTGTTTACAAAAGTCTGGGAACTAGAGAGTGTACGAACGTCATGGAATGAGTCGACAGTTGTCCCTATCTTTAAAAAGGGTTCACGTCGTCCCTGTAACAACTATCGGGGGATAAGTCTACTTACGATTGCGTCCAAGCTATTGGCTTCCGTCATACTTCGTAGGTTGTTCAAAACCCGCGAAAGATTGACTCGCGAGGAGCAGGCTAGTTTTTGTTCCGGTCGAGGATATATTGATCATATCTTCACCCTCCGCCAAATGTTAGAACACCGTCATATTTATCAAAGGCCAACCATTGTAGTTTTTCTTGACATCAAGGCTGCCTTCGATTCGTTGTACAGGACTGTTCTCTGGAATTGTCTAGTGGAAAAGGGTCTACCCGAGAAGTTCATTAAAATATTAAAGGCATTACATACAAACACCTCAGGTAGAGTGAGGGCATACAACCACCTCTCCATTGTTCCACTCAAGCAGAGGGGTTAGACAGGGTTTCCTAATCTCACCATTCCTCTTCAACTTTGCCATCGATGACATTCTGGAAACAGCTCTGATGGATGCAAGTAATGGCGGTGTGGATCTGTTGTCTGGAGAAAGACTTCTCAACCTTAAGTATGCGGATGATATTGTCTTACTGTGCGATAATGCCCAAGGCATGCAATCCGCACTTAATCAGTTGGCAATCAGTGTCCGTAGGTATGGTATGTGCTTTGCACCTTCCAAGTGCAAAGTACTTCTATAAGACTGGCAGGATTCCAATCATGTACTCACCCTGGATGGTGAGCAGATAGAAGTAGTCGAGAAGTTCGTGTATCTGGGTAGCTGCATAAGTGCTGGTGGTGGTGGGAGTGATGAGATCAATGCACGTATAGTGAAAGCCAGAGCGGCTTATGCCAATCTGGGCCACCTTTGGCGCCTTCGTGATGTTAGTCTGGCTGTAAAAGATTGGATCTACAACGCGTCGGTGAAAGTATTTTTGCCCTATGCTTGTGAAACCTGGCCTCTCCGAGTTGAGGATGTTAGACGACTCTATGTGTTTGATCATCGTTGTCTCCGAAGGATTGCTGACATCCAGTGGCAACACCACGTTAGTAATGCAGAGGTTTGGCATCATGTGTTTGGGCGCAGAGACGATAATGCAATTGGTGTCACCATCTTGAAACATCGACTTTGGTGGCTTGGACATGTTCTACGAATGTCGTCCCAGAGAATTCCACGTCATGCATTATTTGCCGACTCTGAGACTGGTTGGAAAAAGCGGAGGTGGTCAGTGTATGACATGGTGTCGGGGTATGAAAGAAAGCTGCAAAGGGCTGGCTTCTGTTGGTCCTTCACGACTCCTTGGCTGGGGTCCGAGAGATGATGCGGCACAGTGGCTAGAGACTTTATCAGATATCCGGTCAGTCAGTCAGTAACAACGTAGAACTTCGTACGTACGTACATCAGTTCGAGTTGCCACACCACATTAGCACAGAGATGCAGTTGTCGATTTAAATCCCGTAGTGGTAGAGGTAATAAGAGTATAAGCAGTAATCGGGAAGATTAGGGTTTGGAGATGTTATTCAAGGAGTATAATCCAGTGAAATAGATTTGGAAAGAGGAAAAAAGGGACATGAAGAATTCAGAAGATTAGAATTTGGGAGAACACAGAGAGTGGATGCACCTGCGCCATTGCAAACGATTTTGAGCCATGTCATTCAGGGTCTCTAACCATCGGTTGCTATCAGGCCTTTTGAAGAACGGAGCTAACACGTCAAAAAACCCCCACGAAAAGGCCGTGCGCAACCGACCTCAAGCAGTTGTCCCTTGGGCTCTGCGGTCACGCTCCCAGGTCGTTAAGACCAACACTAATCCAATTTCCTTTTCAGGTTCCTCAAGAAATACCCTTCCACGGTGTGGGCAGCCGGGAAGTCACATCAGCCCTCATACCCGTAACAACACACGAGACCAAGTTGGTCACATTCAAATTCTTCCTACACTTTATCAGATATGGCTCAGAATAGAAGCCAGTGGCGATCCTGCTGTAACCTTATTTTACTTTCTTCGTAAAAAGTGGTTGTATCTTCCTTAACCGAAAGATTTCTTCTGGTCGTACCTTTCTGTCTCCTCGGTTATTATTACTACACTACCTTACACTAATCTGTTGTCGTTATTATTCTTTTTTTTCTTTTTCTTATACGCACCTTACCTTCTTTTTCTTTTCCCACTCTCATTGTTTTGTGTGGCGCATATATATTTAGTGCCCCCTTGTATCAATATTTATGTGTTCAAATAAGTAATAATTAAATATACACTTCCGATAAATGGTTGTCTAGTTTTAGTTCGGTTAATTTTACCCAGTAAAAACTTTGATATTTTATTAGTGTTTATTGGTTAGACATCAACCTTGCTAAAAGTACGTCATATAATTTATTTTTTAAGGAAATCAGGAATTAGTTTTTTTTGCACTTATAATCACGTATTGGGTTATTACTCTTTAGTGTTTCTACTCTAAATCTGAGATCATATTCAACATTTCTTTCGCACAATATATGTGTTCATGTTTCAGCGATATAATTTACGACCTGCATTGATATCGATTGTATTTAATCCGTAATTGATGGGTGAAAATAAAATATGGATTCAAAATGACTAAACATCAGGAAGACATTCTTTCCTATCCTTTTTTACCAACAGTTTCGTAAATATTTCTGGCATTTCTATGGTGCTAACATCAATCGGTCTTTGAAATATAGAATTAATTAGTAACGGTAAGTTAAAGAAATCATACATTGGCCACCAAAGATGGTATAATATGCAAATATAACCCAGGATTAGAGGTATACCTCACTAAGTATCAATCAGGGAGTCCTACCCCTTCATATATATAACTCAGCTTCGTAAAGTATTGGCAAGTAAATTATGACGTAGTTAGTTAAAATTTGAGTTACAAATTGATTTTTGAACTTTTACTACTGTAAAAGTGTTAGTTAAATCACTTTTAACCAGTAAATCACAGGTTAAAACTATATCCTAACTAATTTATATTGGTACCAGGTAGTATCATTCAACCTTATTGAAGCGCAAAGCCAAGTACAAGTACTTATTGAACTGTGTAAAGGGATCTTATGGGTTGAACCGCTGCCTTCAACTAAGTTAAAACCAGAACCCTGCCTAATCAACTTAGTGTTTTCCATTAAAAAAGCGTTGGAAGCAGACATAAAGATATCATGGCTATATTTATTATTTTAATGTTATTGTGAATATCAGTAAGTCAGATAAAAAAATCGTAGCGGGTTTGCAAAGCCATGTGAATTTATGTATAAAACAGTCCGAAAAGTCTGGCGAATCTCAACTCTAAACATGAATCACAATACCTAAAACCCAAGTAAGTGGAATTTTAATCTCATCTGAAAATATGAACATGGGTATTAAGTAGGAGCTAATTAATAAATTTGAGTTCTATGCTTTAGTAAAACGTCCCCTTAAACCTAGTATCTAACATCCCAATAACTCTAGTAATATAACTGACTTTATCATAGTAAACGAATGATGATTCGGAAACAGTTGGTTAGACGGAGGGTTGAGACGGATCATATGGACCGGCAACTAAGTAGTACTCAAGGAGTGATATGGTGAACCTACACACTAAACATTCATGCTCAACAGGATAAATAAAACTGAGAAAACAATTATAGGACTTACTGATCAGCAGAAAACCTATTGTATTCAGAAAATGACTTGTGCTTAGTGCGATTTGATCGACGACTTTCCAGTTTATAGTCTGAATAAAGAAACTCGAGGTACTTGTTTCGTGTTTTTCTGTCAGAACAGAGTGGTCCACTTGAAGTTATACATAATAAATTGCTGGGACATGCGATGAAAGTAAGGAACTCGGGATAATATTTTTGCTCCAGAAGACTTTTTACAACATTCTGTGCTGAGTCAAACAGACACCGATCAGGGGGTTGTACAGAAGCATTGGAAGAGAGGCCTTTTTTGTACCCATGATGGTAGGACGACAGGCACTCATTAATGTTTTGTTTTAAAATATAAGGAAGCGGAACTGCATGTGAAGCACCTGACTTTATATAAGTCCTATAAATAACTTTAGCGACTTGAAAAAGTTTGTCAGGATTGGACAAGTCAGCATTTGACCGAAAGCCCTTGCAGGCAAACCAGAAATCAAGAAGATGACTTGCAGAATGTTTATAGGAAAGAAATTTGTTGAAAAATTCCACACCGTCTGAATCATTCAGTAAATTGTCTAGATTTATGCCCCAACGGGACTGATCGAGATTACTCACTGAATCCCGACTATCAATCACAACATCCATATGTGTACTATCCAACAATCAACAGAGTCTATACCGTAAGATGAGAACTTTTATGTATTGCGGTAGTGTGAACAAGGCTACTCATTGATACAAAAAAACAAAACATGATCCCTTAATTATTTCGCCTCAGAAAGTGCGTCATTTTTTAAGACAGACTTCCAAACGAATTGATTTTTGATGTTAGTCTCAGGTTCTTAAAAGTAAAGATAGGATTTCAAGCGACGATTTAATTCTCAGAATCATTAGTATTGTGTATATCTAATCTCTTTATGAATCCGTCAGCAGAAGATTACGTAATCTGGTGGAGCAGTCGAGTGATTTGCCACTTAATCCACGTAAAGAAACTTTAGAAAAGAACTACTTTTTCGTAGTTGAGGCACTGAGAATATAATCTAAAATGATTAGTTCTAGCTCAGGAAAAATGCGTGATGAATTGATATCTGAATCATTTTTCCTTATACTGTAAAGTATTATTAGGTCAAATCGCAATCTGTGTTGATATAGCAAGAATAGTATTATACATCTTAATTTGTCTTCACAAGGCAAGTCGTAAAGACCTTTAGTCAATGTGATTCTTCACTGTTGACCTTTTCCGTTACATTAAATTCGTATTCGGAACAAGAACTGGTTACTTGGATCATGTATTTCAGGTGGGATTCGCGATTGCCCCATAAGACCAAGAAGCTACTGGCAACGACCACCTTGGAGTTCTTTGTAGTTGTAAAACGGTTACTAACTATAACTCCTGGATCTATCGTCAATTACATTTATTGCCTAGCTCTGTAAATTTTTTTAATGGCTGCCCTTAACCACCATATGTTCGGTACAATTTACTTTTGATGGCCAGTTACTTGCTCATTCAACCAGTTTGCTTAAGACTTTCTGTATTACCATCTAGCTCTTCGAGCTTGACGTGATTCATTGATCTCTCACCAATAACCTGAAATATCCACTGTGCAATCATTGAAATGTCTCTGAGCCAAATCATCCGGCAGTGAAGTCGATTAATGTCAAACAGTCCACCGGTCTCGGCAAAATAAAGAACAGTTAATGTGTATCATTTTATTGCACTCCATAAACTGGTCCATGTAGCAGAGTAAGGATGCAGTCAAGACAAACATGACTCTCAACTTTCTGCTTAGTCCACTTGGCGCAATCCCCCAGAGTTGTCCCCGGCACTGTTTAAAACATACGCATGGTTCCAACTTGAAGTCCACGACGTCGTTACACCTCATTTACTTAAAGAAGAGACAAATCTCTCGGAACAAGTGCAAAGGTAGACAACCAAATGGGAAACAGGGCTAAAACATGAATCTTATGAGGGCAGACTACAACGACCGGGATTATTCTCACTAAGCTACAGGAGAATAAGAGGTGGTCTGATAGTGGCACACAACACACTAGGCACGCCAAGACAAAGCATACCTATATAACCTTTGAAACGTTTTTCGTTTATTATATTTTTTTCTGTTCATCTTAATATTTGAAGTCTTCTTAAGCTCACATTTATGATCATTACTGTTATCACTACTATGACTGGTCCCTTGACACATTAGATATTCTTTAAGTCCTATTTGTTCCCTCTAAACATCCAGAGTCGTTAACTAAAACAAATTAACTTATGCTACACTTGAATAGATTAACTTTCCAGATTCGTTTTTATCTTCATCATATATATATAACACAGAAATTAGTATTTAATTATCCTTTGTGATTTTCATAGCACCATTCGAAATTATTATTGCAAAAAATTTCATACTAATATCAAGTTTTACTCCTAATCCTTTTACATAAATTTGCGTGTATTTACTCGAGTGCACTAAAATAACTTTAAAAAAATAAACGGTTTACTTCAGAGGTCGATATTCATCACACTCTTATTACCATGATTGAATCCTGTCACTAATTTTTCATTTCTTTTTTCTCTTTCACTCTTTTCCTTCTATATAAATATTATTCTCAAGCATATAAAGTTTGCAATCAAAACAATATCTTGTATTACACTTAAATAAATTAACCTCTCAGTTTCATTTGATCTTCACTACGTATATATAACTCATACGTATAATTACGTGACCATCCTTTTCCACTAATTAAAACTTTCATGGCATCACTCTAAACTATTACTGCACAAACACTTATTCTGCTGTCACATCTTACTGCAATAACAAGATATTTTCTTATTTATTTATTAATAACCTTTTCCTCTTTCTTTTCTTTCCTGTTTTTGTTGCATATTTGGCGATACATGCATAATCGTTTATTCTTGTTCTGTGTTCACAAAAACGCTTATTAAACTATCTATATATTTCACGTTTTCTTCATTTCTATTCCCTTATTTTATTTCTTTTCTTCTTTAAAATCAACCCAATATTCTCCTCAATTACACAGAACCTGCGTTTTTTTTCAAATAAGGCAAATATTATGTTGACATTGTTTAAACTTGTTTATTATTATATTACTGAAGAAACCAAAAATGGTTTCTTTACAGCACTTATGCCCCCTTAAGCCATTTATGAATAATAATAATGATAACAGAATCATTTGAGAATTAAAACTTCCACTCAGCTCATTTACAACTACTGCCGGTCTCAAACATGGGTAGGAGAGGCTCATATTAGAATATGAGCTATCTCTTAACATCTTTTCTTTCGACTATCGTTTGCAAAACTTCGAATTTTTGACTTTCAGCATCAAATGATAAAGATAATATGCCAGATTGTTTTTTTAAGAAAGCCAAGCATTTATATTAATTGTTTTGGGACTTATCTGAATCTTACGAGTTACAGAGTCAACAGCATCACTCAAATCAAAGAATTAGTTTCAGTGCTGAAGGCCTGATGAAGTTCTTTCAAAATATATACCATTTCCTAAAATTGTGTGTTTGTTTCTCATATACTGGATAAGCTGGTTAAATAATGATATAGATGAGTTTCAATACTTCGCTAGATGGTTAGTTATGTCAACAATACAACATAACACGTAGAATATATTTTCACTTGGAATAGTCATGCATATCACAGAAGTATCACTGCCAAGCGGATGTTCGACATAAGATATATTTAATAGATGCATATGAAAACATCACTATGAGGGAGTATGTTGGCTGTAGGAGGGTCGTGTCATATTCAACATTAGTTTGACACTTCTTAGTTGTTTCGATCATCTTTTCAACGTACCTATAATTGTTATACACTTCAGTAAGTGCAGCATTGAGGTGTTTGCACGAACTGACGATTCCTTTGTACATGAAGACTATCTGACTTCAAATCCCAAATAAAGTACGTTCGTTAGTACTCATCTGATTCTGTCTACTTAGGTTGCGCTATTTCAAGAATTCCCAGTTAGTAAAATAATTCAAATACTTCTAACAATCACAAGCAACCTCTGAAAGGAGACACAGTCCTTTTCGTCACGTTGTTAACTGTATTTCTACAAGTCATGTCTTAAAATTTAAGTTTCTTTTTACATCCTACATCAACTTATGCGTCATTCTAGCCTACGTATATGTTCGTGTCATATTATTGCCATGCTATCAAAATTAGACAGTCGTTCGAAATTCCCCATAATATTGTCTACTAAAACCATCATACTCTTTAATACTGTATGTACTAAAGTTTGAGAATCCTGCCGTCACATTAATTGTTTAAGTAAATTTTCAACATAGTTGAAACCATTGCCGTTAACAGTCACCTGATTAATATATCATCATACTGCACCAATGTGATAACTTAAGTATAAGGTATATTAGGCATAGTCATATTATGGGAAGTCCACAATATTGGGTTAGATCTATCATTCTAATAGCATAGATGAGTGAACTAATACTAACTTGGACCGAAATTTTACATACTCTCCAAAAAACGAGAGGCGCGGTCATAGGACAAGAAACTCGTGGTTCCAAGACCATAAAAACATTCTTCAACACTGGAAAGGCTAAAGTTGCAGTGAATGTCAGCCAATAATACACACTGACCAATGACAGTAGCAGAGATGATAAATATCAGACTTATGAGGAGCTACAGTCGAGTTCGCAGAAATACATGGAAAAATATTAGAGGATCTCGACGGAGGATCTAGGCGACAAGATCAGGACAAACAGCACTGGGTACGAACCCGGCATGTGACGACACGGACAATAAAAAAGAAGTGAGAATTGTGAAGGGCCACAATTTTTAACGTGATTTAGACATCTTAGAGACTAGTTCATTTTTACAACATATCATGATATTATCATACTGTCTTATGTGGCCAATCAATTTTCCCCCGAAAATCAAATCTCATAGGTTACTTTTCAGTTCACACGTACATTTCATGGACTTACATTTCTGAATATCCTAATCAAGGCTACGGAATAATGGGACGCAAATATTGACATATCTTCATCCCTTACTTATACTGATTTAAGTATAAATACTGAATATAGACTGCTATCAACCCACAACATGTCAGTTACGTTGGTTAGATCGTTATCTTTTGGCGAATAAAATCATTTCGCTATTCATAAACAGACAGCCAAAACACTCATTCTTTCCTTTTCATAGAATTACTGAACGGTTCAAATAATTTACGCAAGACCAAAGCTTACAGGGAAAAAATGACACAGACCGATACTCCTCTTAATATGATTATTCGAATAATATGGATAGCCCATTGAAATGTAACCATAAACTGGACTATGACTTTCAATCGTAGCCTAACATTCCTCTTATCTATATGAGTGCACCGAATTATAAGTTTGATGACATAACCCCAACCGTTCAAGCTTGTGGATGACATACTAGTGATCAGCAGCAATATGACCAGTCTCTAATACCATAAGTTTGATCAATAATTACGAAATCTATTACGTCGAGCCCTGATAGTACTAACAACTCATCCCATATTATTGTTATACACAAATAACTTATTCATGCACAAATTGTGTGGAGAAACCATTTTTAGTTCCGTTGAAAATGCAGTTCTACACACGAGTTTCACTTATGCTTACACAATATTCATATTATTTATACAGATATTATGGTATTTAGAAGAATTTGGGTTCGACATTAAAAGATATATGTAAATGATCAA